TGTACAACTGTAAATTGTAAGAAAGAGAAAAAGGGAAGAAATAAGCAAACGAGGGCCGATTTCCAGTTCAGTTCTCTCTCTCTTTCTCTCTCTACATTTTCTCTCTCTTCATCTTCCCCAGAAACACTGCTCTGCTTCTTTTCTACACTTTATATTCATCTTACCCGCAACATATACTTTTGCTTTCTTGTTGCTTGAATCTTCATCTACTCCGTTTTAATTTCAGAGAAAAAAAGGAAATTCGGATTAAGAAGTCGAGGAAGAATTTACAGTTTTGGTGAGAGAGAATTGAGGGGGGCGGGGGGCAATTTAATTTATCTAGGGGGCGAAGGAAAGAAAGATCTTCAATTAGTTGAATCTGTTGATGGAACAGCTTATCAACTTCATTATAAGGCCGCCCAGGTGAGAAACCATTGTTTCTTCGACTCTTCGTTTATTGCGTATGCATGTATTTCCATTTCGATGTAGTTTAGGGTTAATTTGGGGTTTGAGGGTTTAGGTTTTGCGTTCAATTTAATGAAAATTTTATGCTATTATTTCTTCGTGGGTTTTTTCCTTTTCCTAATTGATTTGGGATTCTGATTTAGGTTACTTGAATTCTTCTTTTCTCTTTATTTGATACTTTTATTTGGGGATTTTGATGTAAATAACTTTTTTTGATTTTTTTAGTATTTAGGTTGCATTAGATGATTGTTAGAAAATATCGAAATCTCTTACTATGTTAGTACGTTAGACGAAACTTGAACCCGAAGTTACGTGATAGTGACATAGGTTGTTGCTCTTCTAAGATAGTTCTCTTCGTTTTTTTGCCTGGAGTGGTTGGCAGGCTAACTGAAGAACGAAGAAAGAAGTATTAGCCACCAATTTTAGTTCATTTTTATTTACCAAGTAGTCAGGCTCAATGACAAAATATGTCGGTATTGTTTTCTTTATTAGGGTTGTTACAACTACGGCTAAACTAGGAAAGAACAAAAACATGAATCTCGGGATACGGTATTGTTTTCTTTATTAGGGTTACAACTATGGCTAAACTAGGGAAGAACAAAATTATGAATCTGGGGATACGAAATTTCTATGAAAGCAGGGACAGAATATCTACTATATCTCTTATTGGTTCGGTTGGTATGCACAACTCTGTTTTCGTGTATTTATACTCATCGTGAATCGGAACCATGTACGATTATTGTATCTGCTATGGCCATACTTGTCTAACACTGCCTTGCTTTGTGTCCCAAGTTCGGACGGACAAAAATGCATGTCATCATTGTTAATATCAAATTATCAATCATACATATCCAACTTACTTATATTCTTGGATTGCAGAGCTGAGTATAATCCAAAAAATGATTTGTTAGATCAAGAATTTATGCTGAAAAGCAGGTGGTACCAGAGGAAAGATTTGGAGGTAAAATCTCTTTGGCTGTTCAATCTTTTCC